TGTTAATCCATCTTGGAAGCCAGGGTGGAACAACAACAAAAAATGTGATCAAGACGTACCTAAAGGTAGGAATGGGTGGCAGAAGGGGAAAGAAGAAAGTGCTAGCAAAACAGCACCAAAAACAGATTCATAACCATCAAGGAATCGAGACATCAAGTGTTTCAGATGCTTGGGGTCAGGGCACATTACTTCTCAATGCCCAAATAAACGAGTAATGGTGTTGTTGGATAATGGAGAGGTGGTGAGTGAAAGTGAAGGAGAGTTTGAGGACATGCTTGCATTGGAGGACGTTGAAGAAGAAGAAAATTTGGAGTTTGCTGTTGGGGAATCGTTGGTGTCAAGGAGAGCTCTTAACACTCAAGTCAAAGTGGATGATTCGGAGCAGCAGCAGCGAGAAAATATATTCCACACACGTTGTAACATCAACGATAAGGTATATAGTATGATTATTGATGGTGGGAGTTGCACGAATGTAGCTAGCACAACTTTAGTTGAGAAATTAGGACTAGCATTGTTAAGACACCCTAGGCCTTATAAGTTGCAATGGTTGAATGAAAGTGGGGAAGTTAGGGTGAATAAAAGAGTTTTAATTAATTTCTCAATTGGAAGTTATAGTGACAAAGTAGTATATGATGTGGTGCCTATGCATGTGGGTCATATCTTAGATGTGTGCCTATGCATGTGGGTCATATCTTGTTAGGAAGACCATGGCAATATGATAGAAGGGTCACACATGATGGATATAGGAATCGTTATAGCTTTGTCAAGGATGGGAAGACTATTACTCTTGCGCCATTAACACCAGCACAAGTGTATGGAGATCAAATCAAGCTGAAAAGTGAGGAAGACGAGAAAATAAGAGTCAGGAAAAAGGAGAGGCATTAGTGAAACCATCAATAAGAGAGAAAATAGTAAGGTGGTTGAGAGTGGAGAAAAGAGAGAGAAGCCACATGAGCGGAGAGAAAAAGAGTCAGTTGAGAGGAGAGAAAAAGAGTCAGCTGAGCGGAGAGAAAAGCCAAAGGTTAACTTCTATGCAAAAGAGAGTGAGTTGAAAAAGGCTATGAGCAATAATAGACAAATGATATTGTTAGTGTACAAGGAGTCCCTCCTCAATTTCGAGGATTCTAACACATTCCTCCCTAGTTTGGTTAAGTCTTTATTGCAGGAGTTCGACGATGTGTTTCCTAAGGTGATGCCAAGTGGATTGCCACCAATCAGAGGCATCGAGCACCAAATTGACTTTGTACCCGGAGCTGTCATACCGAATCGACCAGCTTACCGAAGCAATCCCGAGGAGACAAAGGAACTTCAAAGCCAAGTGGAGGAGTTGATGAGCAAAGGTTATGTTAGGGAGAGCATGAGTCCATGTGATGTACCTGTTTTGCTAGTCCCTAAGAAGGACGGGACTTGGAAAATGTGCGTGGATTGCCGAGTTATCAACAATATCACGGTAAAGTATCGTCACCCAATACCTAGGCTAGATGATATGCTTGATGAGCTGCATGGTGCTTTCATTTTTAGTAAGATTGATCTTAAAAGTGGGTATCATCAAATTCACATACGGGAGGGTGATGAATGGAAAACGGCGTTTAAGACTAAGTATCGATTGTATGAATGGTTAGTTATGCCGTTTGGACTCACTAATGCATCGAGCACTTTTATGCGTTTAATGAACCATGTTTTGCGTGCTTTTATTGGGAAATTTGTTGTAGTTTATTTTGATGACATCTTAATCTATAGCAAAAACGTAGATGAGCATTTAGAACATTTAAATTGTGTCCTTGTTGTGTTGCGAAAGGAACAACTATATGCTAATTTCAAAAAGTGCACATTTTGCATGGATAGAGTTGTTTTCCTAGGATTTGTGGTTAGTGCTAATGGGGTGGAAGTCGATGAAGAAAAGATAAAAGCTATAAAAGAATGGCCAACACCTAAGACTATAACTGAAGTTAGGAGTTTTCATGGATTGGCTAGTTTTTATAGGTGATTTGTAAGAGATTTTAGCACCATCACCACACCTTTGACTGAAATAGTAAAGAAAAGTGTAGGTTTTCATTAGGGAGAATCTCAAGAAATTGCATTTAACACAATTAAGGATAAGCTATGTAAAGCACCTGTTTTGGCATTACCAAATTTTGATAAAACATTCGAGGTTGAGTGTGATGCATCAGGAATAGGTATAGGAGCAGTGTTAATGCAGCAAAGGAGACCTATTGCTTACTTTAGCGAAAAGTTGAGTGGGGCAGCATTGAATTATCCGACATATGATAAGGAGCTGTATTCACTTGTTCAAGCATTAGAGACTTGGCAGCACTACTTATGGCCAAAGAAATTCGTGATACACACCGATCATGAATCTTTAAAGCATTTACGAGGTCAAGGTAAGTTGAACAAAAGACATGCGAGATGGGTGGAGTTTATCGAGACATTTCCCTACGTCATCAAGTACAAACAAGGTAATGAAAATATAGTTGCTGATGCATTGTCTCGAAGGTACGTGCTTTTAAATTCATTAAGTACTAAATTACTTGGTTTCGAACATATTAAGGGCATGTATGAATCTGATTGTGATTTTTCTAGTATTTATGTTTAATGTGACAAAGGTGCATTTGATAAATTCTATAGGCATGAAAGATATTTGTTTAGGAAAGATAAGTTATGCATTCCTAATTATTCTCTGCGTGAATTATTGGTAAGGGAAGCATATGGGGTGGTTTAATGGGACACTTCGGGGTTCAAAAGACTTTAGACATGTTAAGGGAACATTTTTATTGGCCTAAAATGCGACATGACGTAGAACAAATATGTGGAAAGTGCATAACTTGTAAAAAGGCTAAGTCTAAAGTTCAACCCCATGGTTTGTATACTTCTTTGCCTGTATGAACCTTGGGTAGACATATCTATGGACTTTGTGTTAGGTTTGCCTAGGACAAAGAGGGGTCAGGATTCAATATTTGTAGTGGTTGATATGTTTAGTAAGATGGCGCACTTCATACCATGTCATAAAACGGACGATGCTACCAATATTGCAGACTTTTTCTTTAGGGAAATAGTACGTTTACATGGAGTACCTAAAAGTATAGTGTCTGATAGGGACATGAAGTTTTTGAGTCATTTTTGGCGTGTTCTGTGGAGTAAGTTAGGAACTAAGTTATTATTTTCTACAACTTGTCACCCACAAACAAATGGACAAACTGAGGTAGTTAATCGAACTATGACTCAACTACTTAAGACAGTGATCAATAAAAATCTAAAATCATGGGAAGAGTGTTTACCGTTTATAGAGTTTGCATATAATCGAGCTACACATTCTACTACTTCTTTTTCTCCTTTTGAAATTGTTTATGGTTTTAATCCACTAATACCTATGGATTGAATGCCTTTGCTTGTGTATGAACGAGGTAGCTTGGATGGGAAACGAAAAGTCGAGATGGTGAAAACACTCCATGAAAAGGTCAGGATGCAGATCGAAGAGAAAGGAAAGATGATTGCATCAAAAGCAAATAAAGGAAGAATACGCGCTACATTTGAGCCTGGAGATTGGGTTTGGGTGCATTTCAGAAAAGAGCATTTTCTAGAAGAGAGGAAGTCAAAATTGCAACCACGAGGCGATGGACCGTTTCAAATCATCGAGAGGATCAATGACAATGCATACAAAGTGGATTTACCAGGTGAGTACAATGTTTCGGCTACTTTTAATGTATCTGATCTCTCTCTGTTTGATGCAGGTTTAGATTCGAGGATGAATCCTTTTGAAGAGGGAGGGGATGATATGATTCAGGAGTCGAGCCCGACGAAGGCAAGTGCGAGACAAGACCCGTTAATAGTTGATGGTGGACCAATGACGCGATCAAGGGAAAAGCAAGTGAAACAAACGATGGGATTGCTCGTTCAAGAAACCATTGATGGAACCATGTTCGGGACTCAAAATGGAGCAACTTTCATGTTCGGGTCGAAGGCCGAATCGACTTGGATCAATTTGTTATCAAGCGACGAAAGCGAAAGCAGAAAACAACACATGCAGCCGCACAGGCAAAACTCCATGCGACCGTACACATGAATACCGAAAATAAAAATTGTTTTTCTTGATGAACCATGAGACCTCATGGATTTACACCATGCGGCCGCACAAGTCAAAAAATTGGCGAATTTTCTATTTTTGGCCGAATTTCCTAGTTTCAATAGAATTCTTATGAAATCAAATTATTACAATAATTTGATGGTTTTGGACGTTTTTATTCCTTAGTATAAATAGGAGATTACTTTTCATTGTAACACCTTTGAACTTTGACTTTTGAATTAATATTATAGAGAGAGAAATTTATTATTTCAATTTATTGTTCTTCTTGAACAATCTTGGAATTTATCAAGAATCAACTTCTTGTGGCGTTCTAATCAATTGGATTGTGGGTTCTTTTAGTTGTAATTCAAGGGGTTTTAGGTTCTTCGCTAATCTAGGGTTTCTTGGTTCAATTCTTGGGGTTCAAGATCCAAAACCGAGTTAGTATTGGCGTTCTTGGATTCCGCATCAATCTCGTTGTGGGTTTCGTAGCTTCCATTGCTACGGGGTTCGCATCAGTTAAGCTGACAGAAGAGTGTAGTGCCATTCTATAGAAAAAGCTCTCTCTGAAATTGAAAGATCCAGGAAACTTTAACATTCTTTGCAATATTGGTAGGATCACATTTAATATAGCACGGTGTGACCTTGGCGCTAGCGTTAACTTGATGCCCTTATCAATGTTCAAAATGTTGTGTCTTGGAGAAGTGAAATCCATAACCCTTACCTTGCAACTAGCAAATGAATCAATTATATATCCCAATGTATTTGTGAAGGCCAATAAGTTCATCTTTCCAGTAGACTTTGCGGTGTTGGATATGGAGGAGGATGAAAAAGTACCATTGATTTTTAGTCGACCTTTCTTGGCTACTGGAAGAACATTGATTGATGTCCAGGAAAGAAAGTTCACACTGCAGGTTAATGAAGAGCAAGTTTCAACATCCATCAAGTAGAGAAGCCTCAAGAAAAAGTTAACACTCGCAATATGATCCAATAAGTTGAAGTAGTTGCAGGTAATAGAGGAAAAGAGGAAATATTCTATGATTCGCTAGTGCAGAACATGGCAACCAGTTACCTAGCAAGGGAAGTATGTACTGGTAAATACTCAGGGGCCAAGAAAGCGGTGGATTTCATCTTAGCTCAAGAAGTTGATCCACATGATAGAAAAGAAAGCTATGTGAATAAGCTTCTAAAACCTTCAAACATTGTCAAACCACAAAGAGGTTTTGAAGGCTACACCAGGGTTAAAATCACCTAATTTTGTTGGCCATGCTACAGTGAAGTAGAATACAAAGCCGAGGGTAAAGTTCAAAAATGAGATAGATGTGTCACCTGAAGATCCAAAGTAGACACCTTGATTATGTCAAGCTAATGACGTTAAAGAAGTGCTTCTTAAGAGGCAACCTAAGCTTTCTTTTTTTTATTTATTCTATTTTTTATTATAGAATAGTTTATTTTATTTTAGAGTTTATTTAGGAATTCGTCAGCCATGTCCCATTTCCCCTTAGTTCTTTGAGTAATCAAGTTCGTTATTAGATGTTTGAGCTAGGTACCACTTGTTCCATATGTTTAATATCTAAACTTTGACTTTTCAAGAACATGGCATTGTGAAACACTTCAACCAACACTGACAAGGAAAAAACAAGATAAATCTCGAGTTTGGGAGAAAAAGCTAGAAGAACCATTCATCAAAATCAACATCATAGCACCAAATCATTGTGGTTAATTCAAACAATTCAGGGAAGTTCTCCTTCTTCTCTTTTAAATTTTACGTTTGGGATAATGTTTAGTTTAAGTTTGGGGGTGAAAAATAATTGTCTAATTGCCTGATTTTTTTTATTTTTTAGTCTTTTGTGATTTGTATGCAACTAAAAAAATCTTGTTTTGCATGCTTGTATGAGTTAGATACCTTACCTGCAATGATGTACATTATTGAGAACATGCAACGATTTATGAATTGTGGATAAGTTGTGTTTGAGTTAAGCTTTTGCTTATTCATGTGAAACGAAAAGTATTCATGCATGTGAGTTGATTGTGGCATTGTACATGAACAGGTTGATCCATGTTTGTAGGTTGGATTAGAGCACTTAGATGCTAAATCCAAGCAACCATTAAACATCATTGTACCCTTAAACCAAACCTAGGATATTTGGATGATTGCAGTGTTGCAAAGAAACTTGAAGATGAATGTGGATGTCGTGTATGCTAATTTTTTGTGATGATTGTTTGAGACTAATAGGATGAAAATTGGGTAAAAACCTTAAGTTAAAAGTCAATTTTCGAGAACAGGTGTTTAATAAGGGGCATTGCACTAATTACTGCAAAAAAAGAAAAAAAAGGATCCTAATGAGAACAATGTTAATAATATCATTATGAATCATCTCTTCGTAGCATTTATGACTCAAGTGATTAAGTCTGAAAGAGTTTAAAATCTGATGCCCTAAAATCATCTAATTTGGGAGTCATCGGCCTAAAGCTCGCTACAGGGGTCATTTAGAAAGTTTAATGGAGAGACATCCGCACAACGGATGATTAGAGAATAAATTTATATCTTAAAAAGTATGGACATCATATGCCTTGATTAAACCCTACACACTTGTTTAAAAGGATTAGGCTTTTGACACGGGGTTCGTAATTGGTTGATTCTTAGAAGTTGAAGCAGTAAAAAAAAATGGAGAATCTTCATTTGGTGATATATTGAACTGTAATTAGTAAAATTTAACCAAATTAGAGAGGGTAAGGAGTAGTGATTTATAAATCAACCTTATACTACTCCCTTGGGAAGAGAAAAGAAAATAATTTTGGGGACGTACGAATATCACGAGTGAGGTAAGAAAATATTTGACTTTTTTAAGGCCAGGAATTGAATCAACTTATTATTGTACAGCGTTGTAATTAATTCTCCACACACACGCACACACTCATTTTGCATTGAATAGCTAAGAATTTAGCTTGTACATTATAACTTTGAATTAATTCATGAGATTGATGTTATATTTTCAACCCTGAGCTACAAAGGCAAGATATCTAGCACAATTTATTTTAAGTGGTTTTGTTTGTATTTATTTGTTTGTGTGTTTGTTAGTGTTTATCGTTAGTTTGGTGCTTCCTCGAGGACAAGTAAAATAATAAGTTTGATGAGTGCTCTACACTCATGACATTTATGCTACTTAATTCATTATTTTGTTATAGTTGAGAATATTTTTGAACATTTTAAAGTGTGTTTTGATGTTGTGATATATGTTGATGAAATTGAAAAAAATAAGCAAAAGTTGGTGAAATTGGAAGAAAGGGCCAAATTGTAAGAGATCCAAAATTTGGGAACTAAAATACAAATAAACAAAAGTTGAGTCAAACCTCTCAATGAAGATTTGGGAGTTCTAGGAGTCAATTGGACTAAGAAATACATCAAACGGATCAAATTTAGTCAAATTGTGATCACATATCAACTTCTAACCAAAAAAAAGTTAAGCTATGGATTTTCAGTCTCACATTGAGACTCATTTGACATAGAAAACAATCGAATTGGAGAATGATGTTTGAAGGAACGTTGTACCCCTTTGAATTCTCTTTCCAATGCATCTTGAATCACCCCAATCAGATATTGAGGAAAAATGTTATGCTAAAAATATTGAATGATGCGTAGTCTGTCTTTTTCAACCAAACCGAGCGCCACAGCGCCCATGATTCTAAAAATAACAGTAAAGCCAGAGATGCAGCACCCATATTGGGCGTCGAGGTGCCGGCTATACGAGAAAAAGGTTTTTTATGTTTTGGACTATTTTATTGGCCCAACTCAACCATAATTCATCCAAGAACTTCAAGATACTATAAATGCCAACCAAAAGACCTATTTTCACCAACAATTGAAATGGGCAAGATTGAAGACAATTTAACACACAATTCATCAAGGGCAAGGAAGCTAACATCAAGAAATCAAACAAGGAGGCGTGAAGAACATCAAGGAAAATTCCAATTAAAAGCTTCAAAAGAGTTTTTCTATCTTTTTCTCTTTATGTTATTTATCAATATGTTCGGATTTAATTCTTCCATCATAAACTAAACATCTAATCAAGGGTTTGATTGTAGTCACAACTTGAGAATATGGATTGATTAATTTTAGTTATTTCTATTTGATTTTCCATGTGTTTATTTGTGTTATGATTTTAATGCTTTCAATTAATTGGCAACTAATTGAATGGGTAGATGCTAGTCAATTCCGTTACTCGAGAGAGTGGAATTTAGTGCGACCATAAGATTAACACAACATAGATTTTACGGGTTTCGAGAGAAAGTATAGAATATATGAAGCTTGCTCCATAAAATAACCAGGAATTTGATTAATTCTTGACTTTAATTCAGAATAGAGATACTGGAATTACTTTTTAGGATTAATTTTGGGTTCTTGCTTATAAACCTGGAAAATTGATTAGAGATAACTAGGCTTTTAAAAATCATATTTGATGTTGAGGTGAAATCATAATCCTAGGCTTTCTCATCTTGATTATTTTTATATTTTGCATTTATTTGTTGAATTTGTCACCGCATTTATCACGTTAATTTAGTTAAAATCATTGGTTTCAAATTTTCATTCATCTAAATAAAATAAGAGCTACATAATTATAGTACTTAGTAGAAATTGAATTACAATCCCTGTAGGTTCAACACTCTTAACTCCTTTACTAAATATCATGGGAGAAGCATTTATACGAATGAAGCATCCACCATGTAGAGAATAGTCAGGGCTTCGAAGAAAATGACAGGACCCCAAAAGGAATTATCACATTAATTCTCCGAAGGGTACATCACATGCCTTTGATGAAGAAGCTGAACGTCGTGGGAAAAGACACTACATGGATGAACTATCCACCATGTAAGGCAGCGTGGACACCTAGGAGAAGAAGATCAGATCCTAAGAGGGATTACCTCACTAATTCTCTGAAGCATACACATGTCTCCCATGACAAAGCTGAATGTCATGCGAAAAGCTCCTACATAGATAAATCATCCACCATGTGGAGAAGTTTTTCGAACTGAAAAATTAATGCAAGCCATCCTGGTCTTAAAGAGGTTCATTTGTATGTTTAAATCTATGACATTTTGCTTTAGACGACTTTGGAAGTTCCATTATGTTACCACGAGTTTATAATGGGACAATGTCTTATATGATAATAAACAAGGAGATATAAGCGAAGCAGCAACACTTTGTCAACAAGTAAAACAATACAGTAAAATATATTTCACTAATAAAGATCAATATATCCAGAAAGGACTTAGCCAGCTATACGATGTTGAAGGTGGCCAAAAGTCTGACGCCTGGTAGTAGTCACCTCAGCAACTGGAGCTTCTTTTGTTCGAAGCTTCGTCCTCAAGAGCTTCCTCTTGGTCGACTTCTGGACCATTTGCTTCTTCCATCACATCATCAGCTAGGGTCTAAGGAACTTCTTCCAAAAACCTTGCCCTGAGTTCGATAGCATCCAGCTCTAGATGGAATTTCCACACTCTAACTACCATCTTGACATAGATGAACCTCCGCTAGTAGGCACCAAAACGCTGATACTCCTGCGTCAAGTGAAGCAATGTAGTTCTTCACTACCTCCTTACCTGCCTTAGAGCATCAACTTTGGCTTGTTCTACTTCCTTTACATAGTAGGACAAGTCAATCTCCAAAAACATAGCCTTGCCCTTAAGGCTAACAATTTCCAAATTGGCCTTCTCCAGAGCCTCAACGGTAAACTTTTGATTATATCAGAAGTATCTGCCTTTTTTGTCAAATAAGCCACCTTGCATTGGAACTCGTCGACCTCCTTCTTCAAATATTCAATTTCGGCTAAGGTAGAATCCAACTTAGCTACTTTCTTAGCATGCTAGGCTTTGAAAGCCTCAGTTTTAGACCTATCCTTTTGGCCTTCTCCTCAACTTGCACCAATTTCTCAACTGACTCACAGTTGTG